TTTCACGGTGGCGATGGGAGGCAGGGGGACAGTCTTAAGGATTTCTGGCAAACACTCAGACTTGATGAGGACGCGATTTGGCCGAGGTTTGTAGCCGGAGAAACCCTGGTCCCTGGCGGTTTCCTCAGCGGGGGATCGGGGGTTCTGGGAGATGGGGGTCAAGAGCGTCAGCTGGTTCATGTCTCCAGACTCCGACTTCCTAAGTTTCTCTTTAGTCTTCAAGTGGTCCATCTTCAGGGTATTTTTCAGTCTCTCGTTCTCCTCCTTCAGGTTGTCATACCCCGGCTGGTACATCCCGAGGCTTCCCTTTCTGTATGGCGTCGTCCGGCCGGCGGGCCAACATGCGCCGGAGCTCCTCGATCTCTTCGTCCTTTTGCTCCAGGAGACGTACGTTCTGAGGTTTCCCAGTGAGCAAATACAGGCGGTGCTGGGCCTTCATCACTTTCACATAGGCGTGAGGGCTCTTCTTCTTCTCCCGAGTCCTCTCCCGAGTCCACTCCCGCCGCGAAGTGTGTTCACGCGCACCCGGCACTTGAACGTTGCACTTTATCTTGAGCATCTTCATCTCCAGACACATTTGCCTTTTTTGGAGCTCATGTTCTTTGATGGTGAGTGTCGCCTGGTTGATTTTCAGCTGCTGCTGCACCTCAATATTGTCTCGTGTCTGCAGCTCTTTCTCCAGCGTCTCCTTCTCCGCTGCCATCTTGGCGAACTTCTTCTCCCCCAGTATCTGGTTCCTGTCGGCAGAAACCACGCACACGTCCTGCTTCTTTTTGCTTTCCGCCTGATCCTGGCGGCCTTTCCACACCTGCTTCCTCAAACAGCGATTCTCCATCCTCAACCTGGCCATCTGCACCTTCTGAACCTTGGCCTTGCAGGTCTTATCTTGGAGTTTCTTATCCTTTTGATCAATCATTTCCTTGAGCTCAGATAGCTGCGCCTTGTCCTCACGCTGCTTTTGCAGGAGGAGGTTTCTCTCCGCCTCCACTCCGTCAGCATGGGTTTTCGTCTGCGTTAGCATCTTCTCCAGCTCCACGATAAAGGCCTTCTGTTTGATGATGTCTTGGAAAAGCGCGTTAGTTTCATGCTTCGTCTTGCTCTCTTGGTTTTGGAGTTTAATATCCACATCACGCTTCTTCTTCACTTCTACCTCCATGTGTTTCCTCAGGTTTTGCTCCTCCAACACCTTTTCGTCGTGCGTTTCTGCTGCCTTGATGAGGACTCATCTTGTTCTGTTGTTAACATCGTCCTGTCTTCTCAGTTATATCTCTCACAGGCTCCGCCCTCTACTGGACTCTATGGGTACTACCTTATCCCGCGTGCATTCTCCCACTGAGACTTCTATAGACGTAGCCGGCCCAGGGCGGGCCTACCTGAATGCGCGCGCATCACACCGTATAAAAGGAGGCCTCGCCTCCTGACTGCCATCCTTTTTCTCTTCAGCTAAGCGGAAGTGATTCCACAGAAGACGTAAGACGTATTGAAGTGAAAGTGATAGAGAGAGAGTATGGAGCCAGTACTGGACCATAGGACCTGCCCGAATTGTCCGAACCTGATTTCGGGAGCCGATCCGCACCCCCTCTGCTTCACGTGTTTGGGGCCCGACCACGCGATGAACGGTATGGGCTCGACGCCGACGTGCTCGGCCTGCCAGGCGATCCCGCGGCGCACGAGGGAGCATCGTGGGCAGCACTTCCTGGAGAAGATTGCCCCGCAGGAGGAGTCGGAGGAGCTGGATCTCGACGGCGTGGACATGGGCGATTCGGGAAGCGAGGGGACATCGTTCCGGTTCTCCCTGCCGTGGGGCCAGACGGTCCCGGTTCCGATGATCGACGACGAGGACGCCTCGCTATCCGGAGGTCCAACTCTCAGCTCTGCGCGGATGGATTTCCCGGCGGTGATGACTCTGGCGGCGGAGCACGTAGGTTTACCGCTCCCCCCACCGCTGCCACCGAGGCCTGTAAACCGCCTGAGATCGGGGGTTTATGGCCCGGTGCATCCGGCGCAGCCGACCTTCGTTTCGCCCCAGCTGCCAGAGGTATGGCGGTGTGTGGAGGCGACATGGCACCAGCCATTAAAAACGAAGGCCCCGGTAGCCGCCATGGCGGGTATCATTAAGGTGGTGGATCGCTCGGACACGGGTGTGTAAAGTTGATGGTAGAGTAACGCAGCGAGGCAGAGGGGTTTGTGGGAAAGTTGGCGGTGGAATAAATCATGGTTGATGAATTTCCAGAGTCTGGCTTCTGGGGGCGCTCCTGTATTTCCTCGTAGATATAATCCTTCCAGGAAAGAATACCATTGCTAATGCAAATGCATTTGTATTAACGGTGAGTTATACAAGTGATTTTCATCTACAGTAAGGGGCAATTGTGTTAAATACGTTTAAAAAGGGTTTAACACATGAAAACATTTTGTTGAATCATCATGTGTGAGGGAAAAAATGTTTTTTTGTGTAGAAATAAATTGCAAAACATATCCCTAATCTTTCTACATACCCCCTGCAATCCCCTGAATTGCCCCTTGGGGTCCCCGTACCCCCAGTTCGGAACCACTGGTTTAGAGAACTGTTCACATTATAGATGACGACCATTGTCCCCTATAGTTAGAAAGGTTTTACTACTGTAGCTTTTTGACATTGGAAACAACCACCTTACAGAATCAAAGGAGCCAAACTAGAGCTGGTGTCAGCGTCACAAATGTTTAAAGCATTTTTCTGAAATAATGTTTTTATTTTTCGAAACATTTCTTTTTTTCTGTAGGTGTTTACATTTTTTGTTCTTCTTATAATTTATTTTACCTATCAGCAAAGCCTTGTGCAGCCTGCAATAACACAAAAAACAACTCAATGCAAAAGTAAACCTTTTTTTATTATCAATATACATATTGATATAATACAATACAATATAATATAGTTTACATATACAAATGGAATATAGTATTGAATGATATTGTAAATAAAAAGTGACATAATTTATTCATGTGTAAAGTCAAAAAAATAGGAAGGATTTCAAAAAGATGAATGAAATAAATGTTGCATGACATGTTGTACAGTTTACACTATATACAGTAAATATATCACAGTCTGAGGCTGTGGGGAAAGGTTGCAGTGAAAGGGCAGATTAATGAGATAATGACTGTAATTACTTGAATTTTTGATTATTACACAAATGTTTGACATACATACAGAGAAGCACACAAATCAAGAGTTTTGGAGTTTTGTGATCGTAACGATGAAGGTTGAACTCATAATGAATGTTTTGCCAACCAATCATTATTCTTTTAACCCCTGATTTAAAGTATTATTTCTGTAACAATATACTAAACCATGCTCCCACATACATATGTTACTACGAACCCCTGACTTTAGCATAATGCAACAAACCTGCTGCCAAGTTATTAATTAAAACAGTATATTGCTAACCTTCTATCAACCACACCTGTATGCAATCATATCACATGTTTGGGGATCAGTGCAGATAGGACTTAAAATCAAACAAAGTAAACTATGAAATGATTACTGAAGTGTGAAGCCTGGTTTGAATCCGAAAAGCAATGAAGTGAAAAAGATGTACAGTATCTCAGGTCTGCTGTGGGTGGTTGACAGAAGAATAGAAAGGGTCTTCAGGAAGTCTGGATGGATGATTGACAGTAGAGTAGGTGGCAGATTGGGCCTGGTCCCTCACTATAGAATATGTTTCACAATCAACTTCAGCAGAGATTTTGTGAGCCGTGATGGTGGAGTAGTCAAGCGAGGCAGAAGGGTTTGTGGGAGCTTTGAAGGTGGAGTAATACGGCAAGGCAGAGGGGTTTGTGGGAGCGTTGATGGTGGAGTAATATGGCAAGGCAGAGGGGTCTGTGGGAGCGTTGGCAGTGACATAAAGTGACTGAAGTGCAGTTCCTGGACCTGTCACCTGGGGGCGCTCCTGGATCTCGTCATAGGCACGATCCTTCCACAGCAGAGTGAGAAACAGGAAGGATATTTTATAAGCATCCTCATAATGAAGCACTCACCAGTAGGCAGAAGTTATAGCTAACATTAGCATTTAGCTCAAAAACAGAGCTGTTAGAATGACTGTGTTATTATTTAATATGATTTTGTGAGCAGATCGTTGTTTATCCCTATAAATGAGAATGATGATGATGATGCTTAGCTTCAAAACTCCTTTTAAGTCCCTTTTCAGACACATATTTGGAAATGATTTAGTTCAAGGCACAGTTGAGTATACGTGTGTCTGCTAGCATGGTTGTAGACTCTTATTGTGGAAGGCAAAGGCTGTTGGTGACAAACTGGAAATCATCATCATGGAAATATTGTTAAGGAAACTCCCAACTGTTGGCCAATTAAATCTAGCAATCTAATACACACACACACACACACACACACACACACACACACACACACACACACACACACACACACACACACACACACATTTTACACACATATGGACCCTTACCTCCACGTTATGTGCTTCTCCTTTTCTTTTGTTTATTGAACAACATGAATCTGTCAGAGGAATTGATAAAAGTGGTTGAATGTATTTGTGTGCTGTTAAAACAGGCATTTGCCATACTTATTCACATTTCCCTGGTTCAATATATTACAGAAATACTGTATTTTTCTAAAACTTACCCCTAATGTGTTTATTCTAAATCCCCCCAGCCCATACCCCCATTACTTTTATTATTACATGTATTGATGAATTGATCAATCTAATAACTGTGTGCCAGCCCACCTACTTCCAGTGAATAAAAAGTACGTATGAAGTAACGTGCAGAAATCTCTTACGCTTGTGCCTGAAAACCAAAAATAGCAGAAGCCCCAGCGGAGCCACACAGACCACAGCGGCGACTATAGGAATCCAAGAGACGCCTGCAGGAGGCAAAAACATGTAGCTTATTTTAACTAACATTAACTCCCATCGAGTCTGTGATATAACATTTAGTGGGAATGTTTCATTTCTAATAACATAATTTAACAGCATCATCTTCCTCCTGCAATGGCTGCAGTACATTTCATAGAACAAAAAGTAGTTTTCTCACCATCTTTCTGGGCAGAGTTGGACTGGGTTGTTGACACAGTAGATGAAGCAGTAGGTGAATCAGTAGATGAATTAGTTGGTGAACCAGTAGATGAATCAATAGATGAACCAGTAGACGAAGCAGTAGACGAACCAGTAGACGAACCAGTAGACGAACCAGTAGACGAATCAGTAGATGAATCAGTAGGTGAACCAGTAGATGAATCAGTAGGTGAACCAGTAGATGAATCAGTAGGTGAACCAGTAGATGAACCAGTAGAGGAACCAGTAGAGGAACCAGTAGAGGAACCAGTAGACAAACCAGTAGACAAACCAGTAGACGAACCAGTAGTTGAATCAGTAGATGAACCAGTAGATGAAGCAGTAGATGAATCAGTAGGTGAACCAGTAGGTGAATCAGTAGATGAATCAGTAGATGAACCAGTAGACGAAGCAGTAGATGAACCAGTAGATGAACCAGTAGATGAACCATTAGATGAACCAGTAGATGAACCAGTAGGTGACAAAGTGGTTGGAGGGTTAGAGGTTAGGGATGTTGATGACGTACTAGAGTTTATCAATTCTTCTGAAAATTGATAAGTAGACTCAGATTATAAGGTTGGAAAGCATGGATAACGAGAAATACAATCATTCAAATGTTAAAAAAAAAGTGTATCATGTAATCATATATGAACGATAGTCTTTGTAATTTGGAGCCATACATTTTTTTTCTTCAATTAACATATATTAGGTTTGACTATTATTATTGTGGGAGAACCCTATGGATATTCACATCAGTAAGCACATTTCTGTCAAATAGTTGCAGACCTAGTGACGTTTTTGATGTAGACAGACAGACAGCATGGACTGTATTCAACAACTTATATCAGAGAAACCTTTATTATTCATCTCAGATATTTAGTTTCTCACCTTTAACCTCCAGTTGTATTTTCATGAGAGCAGCTCGGTAACTTATTTCTTTATCCTTTTTTTCCACTCCACACCAAAAGACTCTAGCGTGCTGTGGGGACACATTACTGAAGGACACAGTGAGAATGAACATCTTGTTTGGTTGACAACATGTTGTTGGTAAAATATCCTCACAGATTGAACCGTTCACTTTGCAGAAAAACTTAAATTTGGAGTCTTCTTTTTTTGTTATGATATCACAGCGGATGATGATTTTATCTGTTCTGTACGCAGTTTGAATTAATGGTTCCTGGCAGCCTTCATCTGTAACAAAAAAAGAAAAGATAAACATGAAATCTGTCCGCTAACGTGTGCTTTATATTAAACTGATTTCCATTTTGTCTGACTTGGTTTGCAGTTGATAATTTTTTGTTTGCATGCATTATACATAGTTTGTTGAGGGTGTGCTTCCACAAAGGACAAGAGAGACTCAAGATGGAGATTAAGCATTTCTTACCTAATTTCAATTCCACTTCTTCTTTGTCTTCATTATTACTATTTGTGCCAGTTCTAAAATTCAACTTGTACTTCCCAAAATCTTCTTGTTGAATATCTTTGATGACCACCCTGAGATCATTACTTTGATCATCATGGCACACGGAAAATCTTCCTTCGCTTATCCACACGTTTTTTTCATTGATTTCAATTATTTTTCGATTTCCACATTTGTCCTCTACATTAATACTTGTATATGTTTGATCTTTTTTAGGGTTTAAGGTAAAATTAACCCATCCACCTATGCATCCCTTCACCTTAGAGGCCTCACAGCCTGTAGAGAGAGAGAAACGTTCATGTCAGATTCTCAAACTAAATCAGGACACACTTTCAGGATTAATTAGTAAATCACACATCTACATTTTTTTTACATGAAATGTTGATATTTAAAAAATACGACGTACAGTATACTATTGCAAAGTACTTTGAATAATACGATAAAATAAAAAATAAACTAGTATTGTTATGTAAAGTGGATTGTGTACAAATGTGAAAAAATGGTGAGGGTTGTGCAGAACTGGCAATACTTGAATGAAATAAATAAAAACAAAAAACTGTATGTATAGTGTGCATTAAAGGTGGGGTAGGTAATTTTGGAGAAACCAGCTCGAGTGCGCTAGAATTTGAAAATACACAACCGGAAAAAATCTACCACTTCCTTACAGAGCCCCTCCTCCAACACACACGAACGCGCACATGACCAATGAGGGCACAAGATAAGTTTGTGCACAGATGGAAGGCTGACAGGCAGGTAGGCCATCCAGTTATTTTAGCCGGGCCGGCTAAAATGATTGGTCGTGCTTTTTACAGTACTACGGCTTCCACCGATGACATTTTGTTATGGATTTTTTGCAAAGCACTTAAGATATTCATTGCTATCGGGATGTTAAGAGCATTCCATGGAATATAACAAAAAGTGTATCTCGAGCCGGTTTCTCAAACTTACCTACCCCACCTTTAATATAATGCATACACACATGAATACAGTAGCAGAATTTGATGCTGTGGGATTTTACTCATATCGATAAATATGATCAATAAAATAAAACAATTAGCTCAAAATGGACGCAGAATATGTTGAAAACGCTTTATTTTATTAAAATTCGCTATCGGGTATAGGTAATCTTTTTACCTGTCATCAGTGAGAGGAAGAGCAGCAGAAACTTCTTCATGGTGCTGCTGTCCGATGCTGAGATCCTCCGTCAGATTATTAAACGGGTCTGTCTCTACAGTTCGTTGGTACGAGCGTTGTGTTTTCCGATTACTATCGTGCCTTACCTTAAATCTTTCTACCCCCAGCTTTCTCTCCGCCCTTCCCCTTTTTCTTCCGCTTAGTAATCAAAGCTCCTTCCTCATTATATTTAGCTTTTTTGATTTCACATTACACAGGAAATAAATTGTGAGAAAGAGAGAGACACAGAAAAATACACTTTGGATTATCAGGAGGTCCCTGACATGAACACAACATGTCTGAAACTTAGAATAAACATTTGAGAAACTTAGAATAGATATTTGTTGTATCATTCCTCATTTGGTTAATTAAGAAAATCATCATCAGAAATCTGACTGGTCCCTAATGTAAAAATAATTAAAAGGGTAATAAAATGACTCATGTTTTTTTTTTATCTGTGAAGGAGAAGTTGGGGACTTTTTTAACCAGAAGCTGTTTTCAACGATTACATTGGTAAGTAGAAAATTATAGTAATCATAAACCTCCACTGTATGAGTGTTTTGCAGCATTGCATCTGTCTTGCTATATTAAAGGTCCCATGTCATGCTTTTCTGGTTATTACCCGTCCCCTTGTGTGTTATGCAGCTTTTTATGCATGTAAACGGTCTGCAGAGTCACAAACCCTCAAAGTACACCCTGTTGGCCGGCTTTTTGTGTTGTTTTACATTTTCCCTTTTAATGGACATGTTATAGCATACAGTACAGAGAGCATATTCTCTAAGTTTCCTAACATTGAAGTCTTTATCTGGTAAAGACTATTTTAACTTTCCTTTTCTTAAGGTGATTCTGATGTAGTTGTATCCTATGCACACTCATTATCCAGAGTTAAGTTTTGGTTTCCAGTTGTAAAGAGCTGTATTCGTAAATCCATCAGGAAGTAAATCGACTAGGCAAGAGGAAGTCTCTAAAATGCTCTCTACTAAAAGAAGAACTGCAGTGCTCTTTAGCGAACCAAAACAAACAAGCCTGAAAACAATCCTGTACAATCTTTAATTATTACATGGGAAATCTGTGTTGATCCAATATGAGGACAATTTGCTTAAACCATCTATAGGACCATCTGTTGGGGCTTCTAAAAGATCAAACTGTTCTCCTTAGAGAAAAGAAAATGTGAACAGACTTGGACAGTTACAGAAAACCTTGATCAGTGCTGTCGTCATTTAAGTTACATTGTTGATGCCGCACTTCCTGCCATTGGTACGCAGTGGAACAAAATGTTTCTTCTTAGCGGAAAGCAATTTTAGCGGAAGCAATTTTAAGTAAATTAATCATATTGTAGCATGTGCGGTTGGTTTAACAAAACAAACAAACCTATCTGTTTTGAGCTGACACACTACAGAAAAACGTTATTAGCCACCCTGGAAAAGCTAAAAGATTGAAAGAAGTATTTTTATTTATATTAAGAATAATACTCTCTGAACACATTGCTGAATGTGTGTTTGGCCTAAAATGACATTGAGTAGAAGTGGAGATACTAGAAAGCTTTTACAACAAGAAAGACAATATGTCAGATTACACGACTGGTTGGGAAAATCACCTCCTCTTCCAACCTGTGAAGCAGGTACAACTGTGTTAAGAAGTGTGAGTCCTCCCACTGACCTCCACACACACCGTCACATTGTGTTGTTTGTGTTGAAACTTGCAATTTAAGGCCATACTTTACAACAGAAATATCTTTCCCGAAGGTCCTCTCTGTGTGACTAGAAGGGACCCTCGCCTAATTTCAAAGAACCCTAATGTGTTTTGGTTGAAGCCGTGGGTTTGGAGTCTGATAACAATTGTCATCTGCTCCAAGTGAAACACGGAACAATGTATTGTGTGTTTATGGTTTATGAGTGTGTGTTCAGGACCGGTGGGACTGCCAGCCAATCTGGAAAAAAAAACAAGAAAATCCAAGTACCAAACTCACATGCAGAGTAGTTTCTCTGGCTGTGATTCACTGTGATTTATTAGTTATTGACAACCTGTTGTTGGGAGAACAGGGTGATTGAGCTAAAGTTAAAGTCTAGGCTCAATTGACGTACCTGAAACATTAAAGAGGAAAGCAACGTGTGATTGTTGTCGTGTAGTTTTGGGTTTGTTTGGGTTTAGATGCCATGCTGTTATACCCTGATATCACTTGGCAATAACATTAGATACATCAAGATGCATCACAAGATGGTGATCTGATTGTTTATACCACACGCAGAGGTATTCTGAGAAACTGTGTGTCATTCTCTTTGTCAAAAATATTTGTGTGTCATGTGGTGAGTGCCAGGCTTTGGCTTTTCCCTTGAACCAGTATTTACCAGTTCAATCAAGTAAATACCAAACTCAAGAATGAATCGATACATACAGTAAGACAGAATCTGATTTGAGGGGTGATGCCATCCCACTTGAATGGAGAATTACTGAAATGTTTGTCCGTTGTTGACCTTACTCAATTTGAGTGAGGGGGCCGAGGAGTTTATATGGCAATGGTTATCATTAATTAGTTTACCAATTAAGAATATGTTTTGACCAGTTGCACATGTTGGCCTTTAGGTTTACAGTCTTTAGGTACTTTTAACAAGAAGTACCCTTAGAAATGACCTGATAAAAATGCGTCAGACTTAAGCAAAGTAAACATAAAATAACAAATAAAAAGACATTTACATCACAAAACATTTAAATTCAGCACCTCTACATGGATATAATTTATATAATATATAGATATATATATGATATAGATATCATTTAATGTACCTGTTTTTTTCACTGGGAAGTTCGCTGGTCCAAGATTAACATAACCACTGGGGTTCGCTCCCCCTTAAAGCTTTAACAAACTGCCTCGACACTGAGACATGATTTATGTTGATGGACAGATAGAAAACCAGAAGGATGATTTCATAATGAGGGACTCGTAAATACATACAAGCATGAG